ATCAGTCCTATTTTTCCACATATTAATACATTTATGAATTTTGTGCAGGTATAAAGATCGCTTCTTCTCCAACAACACTGCTCCAGAGGCCAAGCTGCACCTGAAGCAGGAGCTGCAGATTATGTCCAGAGCTGAGGCAGAGGGGAGTCGGGCAGAAACTGCAGAACCTCCTACTAAACTGTTCATCAAGGCCCAGGCCAGCACTAGTCTGGACACTGTATTTGACGAAATCGCTAAGGAGCAGCCCCAGGCAGCACAGCCGCTGGCAGCAGGTGCTGCCATTGAGCTCGACACATACCTCGGAGAGGCCCCAAGCCCTCGCAAAGACAGTCCTCTGAAGTACTCGGGTGTCAACAAAATCAGGTTCCCCACTTTGGCTAAAATAGCCCGTAAATACCTCTCAGCCCCATGTAGCAGTGTGGAAAGTGAAAGGCTTTTTAGCTCAGTGTCACACATTATAGATGAAAACAGAAACAGTCTGACTGCTGATAATGCAGAAAAGCTACTTTTCTTAAAAAAAACCCTGCCACTCACTTTTTCCTCTCCATTAAGTGAGTAGTCTTAGACCTGATGTTAATACCTACCTCAGTTGCACTGACTGCCACAGTTCTATGTTGGTGGATGTTGTTAGTTTATTCAAATATTGTGCACTAAATAGCAAAGATGTTTATTAATGCCCCTTGTGTTGTCCAAAGCGGCAGAGTTTACTATAAACTGAAAAAAATACTTGAGTTGCACTATCACTGTTTACATTTTTTTTCACAATTATTTATTCTGTAATATGTTGCATACAACATGCTTTTCATTTTAAATAAATGTTCTTAATTCCAAACCAGTCCCTTTTTTTTTTTTTGTTAAATTATAGGACTGAAGCTGTTACCTGTAAATTTAAATCATGTCTTTATTAAGTACTCTGTATCGGTATCGGCGAGTACTGAAATGCAAGTAATCGTACTCGTACTCGTTTCCAAAAAAGTGTTATCGGTGCATCCCTAATACGTTCAGTAGTCAGACTTAAGTTTCACAGCAACCTTCAAGAAATATGTATTTTTTCTTTTAGCTTTAGTGCAGTTTCTCTATTGTATTTGACATAAAAAAAAATCTAATTTTGTAGGTTGAAGTTGTGAGTCTTTCTAGCCTATTCTTCACCTTTATAGATCAAAAATGTCTCTCTGTACTGCTCTGTATTATCCATACTTCTTTACTGCAGTTCAAGCTGGTCTGACTGAATGAAATCAATGATAAGAGCTTTCACTTGATTAACCCCATCTGTCCCTTTAATGCAGCCACTTTAACTCCGCACACAGTTTCCCCACTTTTTCTAACATTAAACTTCTAAATAAACTTAGACCATTAGTCGTTTATGAATATGTGTTACCTTGGGCTATCTTAGCCGGTACTTCAGTTCGATCATTCTCATGGTTTCAGCCCTCTAATAATCAGATCTCTCAGGTGGTTTAATAAATCAATTTCAGTGTTTCTAAAACTGTCTTGTCTTACAAATGTTTTGTTTGTTTTCAGGGCAAAATGTGTGATTTCACTCCGGGACTATTAACATACCTACAACCAACTGTTTACACTAAAAGCAATGGATTTCTGTCATTCACACCATCTGGCATATCCTTTTTAATTAACCCCAAAACCTGCTGGCAGGAATGTAAATTGGTCAATGCAGGTGGCAAATGTGAAAAAAGAAAAACAAAGGATGGTGAGTGAGAAGCAAGCTGTTAGCCTGCAGAGGAAGGAACAGAGACCTTTAGGCACAACAGCACACAGACATACATGCAGGCATCTGGGAAAGTCTTGGAATAATATCCCCAAAATCCCCTAATTCTGGAAGCTGGAAGCAAATCCACAGACTGATAGCAGGATTGAAAGATAGAAAAAGAAAGAACTGATAGATGAGGTAATCTGGGGATGTGATCTGTGTGATTTGGAATAGATGTCAACTTTGACAAAAAACAGGGTTGGGAGAAGGGTGCTCCACACTTTCTGTACAAATGTTCCTCCTCAATCACTCCTCTCAGAATCGGGTTCCAAAAAAACGATCTAAACACAAAATGTCGGGTTAGCGGGATAATTACAAGAGATTCTCAAAATACAGGTTGGCAGATACACAAGTTTAACTGACACTGATAGCTCAACGATCCAGCGAAGACTAGTGCAGACTCGCCATCTAAGTAGTGCAGTAATCAGCTGGGATCAGCGGCCGGTGTGGTGATGAGCAGGTGTGTGGGCCAGCAGCGGGAGCCCGCAGTGAGCATCGCCGTGGCGAGAGAGAGAGAGAGAGAGAGAGAGAGAGCAAACAAACCACAAACATATTGCCCAATAGAGGATTGACCAGCGGGGCACAGGGACCATGACAGTGTGGTGCTTTTGTGTTTGTTTACTGAAAAGTTTCACTGTCAAGAGTTTAAAGTTACATCTTCAAATGTAACAAATTAAGACACTGGAGCAAAAATGTTCTTAACCAAATATGCCAAACCGAAGAATTCCACGGTAAAGCTCCATACACACTGGAAGCAATTCATGGTGACCAGGCGACCAGGGACTATAGAAAGTGAATGATATTTAACTGCAAGCAGTCATTGGTGTGATAGCTACTGGTAATGCTAAATGGGGAGGACAACAAACATTCAGATTAGTGACGAAGTGATGAAATATATTAGAGGATCACCTCAGCAAGTGTAGCTTGGACTGGGACTGAGAAGTGAAACACTGGACATAAGGTACAAAAATATTGTGTTGGCAAGATTGTCAGAAAACGTGACCTATGAGTTTGACCTTGAGGTTAAGGTCACCGGAATTCAAACTTGTTCCAAATTTTTAGTGGATATGGTATCAGTTTGAAAATCCTACACTGACTTGTTCTCGAATTATAGTGTTCTTAAACTTGAGTGGTCATGCCGCCTGCCCACCCAAACAGAGAGGAGGTGACAATACCCCATCAGCGTTTTATGACTGAGGGGTAAAAAGTCCTCAAGCAGACCTCTGAAACTAACCATCGCTGGTCACACATTACTTTCAAGCTAATGGTAAAATGGTAAATGGCCTGTATTTGTATAGCGCTTTACTTAGTCCCTATGAACCCCAAAGTGCTTTACACTACATTCAGCCATCCGCACACATTCACAATGGCAAAGTTTTTGGGTAACAGCTCTTTGGGAATCACCTTATTTGTGAAAAAAATACAATTTTCTACAAGTCAAATTGTGTTAACTTTGAATTTTTCATATCTTCAAGAAAAAAAGGAAAACAAATGGTATATTTTTGTGACAGGCTGTTGGTAACAAATCCTAAAACCCAATTTGTAATTGATTCACTCCCTGAGTTAGATGCCTTTTTATGCTTGAATGATTCAGAGTACCAGTGTTAAATGACATTCCTCTGAAAATGAATGTACAAGAACTGGATTGAAAACAGGTGAAAAGGCAGCAAGTCCAAAGAAAAGTCTTCAAGAGAAAGTTTCAACTTTAAAACAGACGTTGAAGCAAAATATACTGAAGGGTGGCTCAAAGCTTTTTTACTGGTAGGTTGGCTGTTGGTAGGTATCTAGCTTGTTGTCAGCAGTGAAACCTTTGACATGGATGACTACAGGTTCATAGGTGAGGTGCCACCACAGCAGTGACAGCTTTCTGCCTATGTCCTACTAGTTGCCTCACATTCCCGTCACATACTGATCCACAGTAAGTTGAAATGAGTCCTACAGCACTGCGGAACAAGATCTCATTACTTGAGCTCATTATACACAAGCTCATATAGACTCAGTGGAGCAAGGTCATAGTGTCCTCACTCTGTGACTCTCATGTTAGAAGTACATGGAGATGAGATTACATCTAGGACAGAGGCAGGTGACTTTTGAGGACCTGTGAGCGAATGTAATTCAGTTTGGAAAGGATGCACAAGGGCCTTCTTGACAAAATGAATCCATAGTGGTGGTGGTGTGTCTGTGTGTGTGTGTGGAGGGGGTGTTTCTGCTGACAGGAGTGTGGGAGGCTAAAGGTCGTTACAGTTTTGAGAAAGCAAGTGCAGAAGACCACGGACCATGAAGCAGACCATGAGGTGATGTGTGACTGGACCATGACCTGCTTAGAGGGCCCACAGTCCCTGAATCAAATGACTTGGGAGCAAATTTCAAGAGGAAAAAGTATTTTAATCCAAGCAGAACAAGGCCAGACAGGCAACGCTATTACACCAGGGGGCAACAACAAACTGCACCTGACTGAGGCTTCAAGTCCCTTGGACAGGGACAAAAGGTCACAAACAGAACAGATGGCACATCGCGTTATTAATTTACTTTTATGTATCTGTTGTTTTTCAGAGAGTGGAAAATCCTGTCCTGCCTTTTCCTGTCAGCAGCAGTCATCCACTGGACCGTACAGGCAGGAGAGATGTTCTTTCTATCAATCTTTGTTTCCCTCTCTGCTCCGTACAAACATCCTGTGGCCGGTTCAGCCCCCCCCATCCTAATGTAATAAGCACATGTAGCGTGCTTATTAAGCTACATTCTCTCAGTGGTATTGTTTCTTTCTTTAACTCTGCATCCATCATCTAAACTTCTTGTTCTGTCACTTTTTGTTTGTCTCGTGACTGGTAAAACCTCCGACCTCAGCCAGTTCTTTTCACTTCCTTGGTCATGCTCACACTTAGGAAACGTCTCTTGTTCTGCTTTGTGTCTCCTGGCCCTCGATCCAAGTTTTCTCCCAGCATTAGAGGCTTTTAAATAACTACGATTGAAGAGATTGGATGCATGCCACTGTACATCTTATTTGTCACTTAAATACCAATATGATCCACTATTTTAATCCCTCTTTCTGCTCAGAGAAATGCTGAAGATGTTGCTTCTGCAATGTTAAAGAACCTAGACTATATTAGAATAATAGAGGATGTAAAACCGGACTTCTTAACAGCGTGATTATAATTTTGAATTTCAGACCGACTCCCTTCAGAACGCTATTACCAGAAGGGCTCATTTCTAATGCGTTCAATGATGCATCCCTAATTTATCTGACAGAACATTTTAAATCCATTTTATGAGTGAATTCAGCAGAGTTCAACTTAAATTCACTCACCCAGTGCACAAATTAGCACAACAAATACAACACAGAGAGTACTGAAAGAGAGTAAATACAGATTTTCAAATATAATGAATCAGTAAAGACAAAAGAAAGACATCAAAATGCTTTAACTATGTCGCTGGGGCCCTCAGGGTTTAGCCCCTTTAGACAGTGCTGTCCTGATTCAGTGCAATAAAATGATAGATGGCTAATTTGTGTGCAGCTGCTTCTGATTTTATTAATACCTCGGAATCTAATTTGCATTTTTTGAATAAAATCCTACTTTCAGGTGCTTCCTTATTCACAGGGTGTCACCAGAGCAGGGAGCTCACATGCTTTGAATTGGCAGATTCTTACAGTGGGTGCTCTCCCTGACACATCCCCAAAGGAACCTCCGCACTAACCAAGAAACTTTTGCTTGTTAGGTCAATGTGTAAGCCACTATTATCTCGACAGTGAATACGGGTTAATAAAGGTGTCCATGCATGACAGATTCACTCTGACTACATACAAAACAAGTCCATCTGAACAGAGCTGTGCAGACACACATAGGTCATAACACCTATAACCAGTGAAAAAATATCTTCACATCCTTCTGATACGCTCAGTTTGCTAAAACATTTCTTTATCCAACAGAAGCATCTGTTAGCTTAACTTCATGTGAGGACAGTCACTTTTATACATTCAATTAAATATAACTTAATAATACTTAACAACATATCGTCTCGTCTCACTGGTGGAATCTTCCCTTTTTGCTCAGTTTTAGCATTTCTTTCTCTGAAGCATCAGAAACGGAGGAGAAAAGCCTGCCTGGGATTTTATACAGGAATGCTCAGAACCCACTGAGAGACCCCCTGAGGAAGACAGTGGTCTGAGAGACACGTTTCAGACGCCATATCTATGTGTACACATGTTTATGTTAAATGCCCCCAATAAACTACAAATGGCATCACCAGATAGTAAAATTTCCCCAAATTTGCAAAAAGTGATTTAAAATGTGGTTCTTGACATTCCTTTACATTTGATTTACATTTTTTACATTTTTCTGCTATGCTGCTCTCCTTCAGTCATTTGGTTGACACATTTGATGCTGATAATGTTTCGAGCATCTGAAGCTCTGACATCTGTCCAGACAAATGCATTGTTCAAATCTTGGTTGTAAATGATCACATGGGTGTTGACAATGGCAGATGCTCAGGCAGCTTATCAATATCACTACTGCACTTAAAAAGTGGCATCGATTCGTCTTCACTTTATATTACTGTAGACCCATCAGATTACATGTCTTTATGCAGTATAATAATATATCCAGTATTGTGCATGCTGGCTCACTATCCTGCTGTCAAGGTGCGCTGGGATGCTTGAAAAGACAGAGCCATTGTTAGTAATACCTGTCCTGTTCCTGTTATGACAGGTCCCAGTGTCTCCTCTGAATATTAACATCGCAGTCAGTGTGTCTGCTTGGTCTGTCTGAATGTTGCAATATCTGATCTGTACAATAGGTGCTTTTGGTGAATTACTATGTAACCAATGTGTGTTGTTAATCAAAGACATTGTTTGATCTGCTGCACATTTTCTTTTAACTGTTGCTGCACTTACATGAGTATTAAAAATACTCATATGTGAGCAGATCTGACATGTAAGTGTATCTTAGACCAACCACACCCTCACTGGAGAGCAGTGACTGCAAACTACAAAAGAAAGAAGAATGTGGCAACAATTCGCTTGTTCTGACTGACACAACAGCTCAGAATCCTTATGGCATGTAGTTCTAATATTGTTTTGCCACAAAACAAATATTAGAATTGCTTTGATGGCAATGGCAAGATGGCAATAATTTAGAGAAGGTTTATAGTCTCATATTGCCTGGCATAGATGGGCAGTAACGCGTTACTGTAATCTGATTACTTTTTTCAGGTAACGAGTAAAGTAAGGGATTACTATTGCAAAAACGGTAATTAGATTACCGTTACTTTCCCACCTACCCTACTCCTGCTTTACAGGTGAAAATAGAGCAAAAGGACCGCTAGTCTTTGAAGTTATTTATTTTCTGCTGTGTTTTTGTCATGGTTCTGGGTCAGTTTCGAACCAGTATTTTGAGTTTTGATTGTTCATTACATGCCTCATTACATGCAAGGAACACACTTCATACAAACGTTAGCTGGTTCACTTAAGCTGGCCATCTCAGAGGCAGCTGCTCCCTCTAGGGCCTCCCCAGAGGCTGGGTGTCAGTCACCAGCCAACTCTGGACCCCTAGAGCACCAGCAGCTTCACTAGAGGACTTTACTGAGCAGTCTCAGCCGTCATCCCCTGCTGAGAGCTCCAGTGAGTCCGCCCCTCTGCCCCTGTCCTCTGCTGGAGGACCAGAGGGACCCATTCAGCCGTCAATCTCAGCTGGAGGGCCCGAGGAGCCCGTCCAGCCTCATGTTTCGTCTGCTGGGGGTTCTGGAGAGCCCAGCCAGCCTCATGCTTCGTCTGCTGGAGGGCCCGAGGAGCCCGTCCAGCCTCATGTTTCGTCTGCTGGGGGTTCTGGAGAACCCAGCCAGCCTCATGCCTCGTCTGCTGGAGGGCCCGAGGAGCCCATCCACGCCTGGTCCAGCCTCCGTGCCTTCATCCACGCCTGGTCCAGCCTCAGCTCCGCCTTCATCTGGTCCGGGTCCTGCTTCGTCTGGCCCTTCCTCGTCTTTGTCTGGTCCGGCTTCAGCTCCGCCTTCGTCTGGTCCTGCCTCGTCTGGTCCTGCGGTTGCTACACCGCCGTCAGAGCCAGCTCGTCCCCTTCTGCCTCGCCTCTGCCGGCCGTTTTCTGGGCCTCTAGGTTGGCATCATGGCCTTCGGGGACGGCCTCCGGAAAGGGTTCGTCGCTGCCGCTGGCATCGCGGCCGACCTCCGGACCTGCTCAGTGGCCGCCACTGCCTTCCGAGCGGTCGGCCTCCAGAACTGTTTGCCCGCCACAACCGTCGTGGTCTTTGTGTTGTCGACCCCCGGGTCTTTTCTTGGACTCTTGTTGAGCTCTAGTTTGGTTTTGTTTCTGATCTAGTTTCCTGTGTTCTTGGACTGTTTTCTTGTGTATTTGGACTCTTGTGCTCCTTGTTTTTTGTTTCAGTTTTACCTCTGTCTCGTCTTGTTGATTATTCCAGCTGTGTCCACCACCTGTGTGCAATTCCCCTGTGTTTCTCTGTGTGTATTTAAGTCGTGTCCTCTGTTGTTGTAGTTGCTGGTCCGTCTGCGTATCCACCATGTTTCATCCGTGTGTTCCCTGCCGTCATCATCATGCACCATCGTCTTCCTTCCTTTATGTTCAGGTTCGTGTTTTTGTTCGTGCTCAGTAGTTTAGTTGTCCCAGTATAGTTTAGTTCTCCGTTTTGCCGTTTGCCTCTCTTTTTGTGTTCAATAAATCACCTTTACACCTTCACGACTGCCTGCGTTTGGATCCTCCTTTTCCTTTTCCACACGGCTCTTTTCACTCGCCGTGACAGTTTTACTTGCATCTATTTGAAACACTGAGTGTAAACACACACACGAAAAAATTATGTGCTGGAATGTGCAGAAAACAAGTTTAAATGTTAAACAAATTTCTTCCAGTCAGAGAATGTTGCATATAATTAAATTTTTGCTTGATGCATAAAATTAAAAGGTTAAAACTAATAAAACAAGTTTAAAAAAGAGACTTTTCCATTTGATTACATTTTGTATGATGAATTATGCAGAAAAAGTAGAATTGGGCTGAAAGATCTATCGCTTTATCACCTATTCAGGTTGTAAATCGTGTTTTAACTAAGTAACTAAGTAATTAATTACTTTTGAAAATAAGTAATCAGTAAAGTAACGAGATTACTTTTTGGGGGAAGTAATCGGTAATTAGTTACTGATTACTTTTTTCAAGTAACTTGACCAACACTGTTGCCTGGTGTTCTGAGACGTAAAGAAAGACATCACTTAATTTATTATGTTTTAATTGAGGTCTATGCCTTGCTTACACTTGCATGCGGTCCAAGCAAGGCTCTTCTTGTCTTGCTTTCCCATATTTATTGCTCCTGGTAAGGGCAAGTGAGTGGCCCTTAGGTGAACCCTTGCTGACATCTTGTGAGACATGAAATGAGGCATGTTATCTATTATTATTATTTTATTATTTAATTATTTAACATTTAACATTATGCACTCCATACTGTACAGTAATGCCACTGTTTTGCACATGTCTCAACTCTGTATATTTTTATATATTTTATTTATTGTTTACTCTATTTAATTTGTAAAATATGTGTACATACACATACACACACACACACGTAGAAAAATATTTAGTATACACATCCAGAAATGCATATACTATTATATATTGTACATATATTTATTAGTTTCAGATGTAGCCATTCTTGTATTCTGCTTGTTTACATTATTGTATTTTGCACAACTCTGTTGCTTGTGAAGCTCGCACACAAGAATTTCACTCACATGTGCTGTACCAATGTACCTGCACATGTGATGTGACAATAAAAGTGATTTGATTTGATTTGATTTGATTTATAATCCTGTTTATTTTATGTTATATTGTCAGGCCAGAATGAGATGGGAAAAGGGAAAGTTCCTCTTCAGCTTCAGTTCTTCAGCTGTGTTCATACTTCCTAACATTGAAAACTGAAACTGGTGTCAACAAAATATAACTGCCACCTTAGTAGGGGTTACAAAATGTATCATAAACCACAGTCCACTGAACACATACATTACAAACAGTAAGTGCTTCCACATTTCTCCTCTATGACCCTCAATTAAAGTTTGAAAACCCAGCATTGTAATTTATATTGGTAGAATAAATGACGCCCTGAGCAATGACATCGAAATGAAAACATTTATAGCTGTCTTTTCTCTATAAATAGCACTTAAGTCTTGGCAGGATATTTTCAGTTGTCACTTTAGTGTGTCTGATGGAACCAGTACCTCAGATGTATTGTTTTATCAGGCTACATGATGGGCTATGTTTCACTCATACTATACATGTAATTGCGGCCTGAGGTGCATTTTTTTATACTTTAAGTCCATTTTTTGTTTTTCTTTCTTATCAGCTACAACCTAGTTATGTGTTGGCTTCTGCCAAAACATGGGTGACTCACACTTAAAGTATCTTGAGCAGGAACCTATTAAGAGCAGCAATTGACCCTGCTACTTATTCGCTCCAGTAACAGCTGAACATCTGGTAAGAAGCTGTTGACCACGCTGTCAAGGATGAAAGAAAGTGTAAGAGCTACAGGCCTGACTTTTTTGCATAAAAAGAAACATAAACCCAATAATCTGAAAAGGTTGGTTCATAAATGAATTAACAATCATTCTTCTTCTTCTTGCTTCCTCCACTTCCGTACCATTGATTCATAAATGTTGAATTCTCTCGCAGCTGCTCTATTCCCATGTGAATGGATTATCTCAGTTGTTCTCCTGACTGAAGCTTGGTCCGTTTACAGCATCCTGCCATGCGATTGCATTTGTCCCTAACCATCAAGAACCCTCACGTTAACTTTTATCGAGTGTAAAAACGTTAGCGTTCATCTTTCAGCTTCACTGTGCTAATGTTATGCTAACATAGCTGTGTCGCTAGCGATCACGTAGCACATTATATACCAGCTAGCCCAACTTCAGTAACACTACAAACGTCACTGCTGTTTAGTTTTCTGTCTTCATTTATGTTGGAAGTGATAGCAGAGGTGTACGTTTGAATTTGGTCAGAAATCTCTCAGTCAGAACATGCTATATCATGTTTAGGTGGAAGCTAGCGAGCTAACTTCCTGCTAACTTCTAACTCCATTAAATTTAATAAATTCTGTTTTCATGGATGCTTGGATGTTAAACTTAATTGTTACACCTGGTAAAGCAGCAACGTTGATGATTTAATTAAAGATGAAAGAATTTAGACCGTTTGTAACTCAGTGATGCCGCAGTGTTCGTTTGACTTTGGGACCTGAAAATGACGGAGTTTAGGACCCAGATTCCTCCACGAGGCTCCTGACTACAGTAGCCGTAATGCTCCAACAATCCATCAAGCGGTGCGACTTCGTAGCTTACCAAAGTCGTACTAAAACATTTTTGACAGATGTTTGAGTGTACCACATAAAATCGGTTCAAGGTCAGTAAGCACAACCAGAATTCATACATAAGGTGCACTGTCGATTTTTGAGAAAATTAAAGGATTTTAAGAGCACCTTATAGTGCGGAAAATATGGTAATGACATGACTGGATTTAACCTAGAAAACAGTTTAGGATCGCGCAGGTATATAATAACAGGACATTTTTATTTAGTTCATATGTGTGCTGCATCGTGGCACACCTATACCCATATCTCCCTAGCCTTTTTGTTAGACTCCATCTGAATGCAAGACACATGTCCCTGCCAGGTGGACAGGCTGCTTCAATCTGCTGGCCAACAGAGTGTACACAACACAGGGCAGGTGTGTCATCTCTCTGTGTACCCAGCAATGAACCCCCCTGTTGTGCTTGTGGCCGGTGTTTGTAGAGACTGTGACAGGTTGAAATTGGTGCGTGAGTATGTGATGCCAACTGTGACTCATCCAATTGTCCCTCTAACACTGGTGTAGCCTTAACTTGTTTGTTTCCGTGGTTCACAGGCTATCCTAGGCAACCTTGGAAGAACGTGACTTGAAAGCAGCACCAGCACTTCATATGGAAAAACCAACAACTAGGATTCAGTGTAAACTGATATAACATGTCACCGCGTTTCTATGGAGTAATGCATTTATTTTCTGCTATGAAAACATCAAAGCATAAAATACACATAAGCACATTATATTATACAATATACTACTGGATAAAATAAGGACGTATGAGATAATATGAACTCTGCCCTTGAAAGTACCTCCCCATCAGATTATCGTATAGCTCATAAAGTATGACTATATCTCTCTGCCATGAACACCTTCAGGCAGTCTCAGGTTTATAGTGGTTAAACTGACAGCATTAAAAATTAACCAGCAAAATACAATATTTCTTCTGTATGTTTCTCATACTCTCAGTTCACATTGGAGGAAGATATAAATGCCTCCTGTCTTGAGGTTGGAGCTCCGGAGAATGAATTCTCCCTACTGAATGTAAAGAAAGCCCACTTAGGGCCATTTCCTCCTCAGTCAATAAATATGGAGCTATAATGAAATATGTTGTACAGTACATGTGCAATTTGTAACAGACCAATCTCTTCTTAGCCTATAGAAAACAGAATATGTCAATAGTTCCAGGAATATGTCAATTAGAAATGAGAAAATCTTACCTTACTGTATGTCCTGTTCAAGACCAACTTCTCATGACCACTATTGCTAGATCTTAGCGTCCCGTTCTCTTGCTTTACACTTGGACAAAGTTGCTGAGGGGGAAATCAGGTGAGTAGGGTGGGTGGTAAGTAAAAGTACCGCATGATGACACGTGTCATAGTCAAAGTAGTTCCCACTGGACGTTCTCCCTGAGACATCACAGAACATTACACCCACATTAACAGTCTTACCCTGGCTGATGAATTCATGGTGCACATCCCTGTGGAAGGCTTGCAGGAACACCCAAGATAATGAACATCAAGAAGAGACACATTTAAGTCAGATAAGACTTTAATCTTGCAAGCTCTTACATCAGCAAGATGTGTTTAGCCTAGCTTAGCACTAACATTATAAACACAGAGTAATGAAATTAGTAACAAAGAAACTCATGTCTTGATCTAAATACATTGGGACTGGAGAAAGATCAATGAGGACCTTTACATAAACTACCGTTCGGTGATCTTAACTACATATATAAAAGGGAAACCAGACATTTAATATCATTTTTTCTAATCAAACTTAGGTTGTCACTTATTTACTTTGATAAGGTGACACAGAACCACTCAGATGATGCAAATTTTACTATGCAAATGTCAGGGTCTGTAATTAAATGTTTGTTGTGTTAGTTTTT